TTATTAAACTGTCAAACACCAAGCGGTCACCGGTGACCGCAACCTATTGTTCTATAATTGTGTCTGCAAAACCGGTACTCGACGAGTTAATAAAACTGTCAAACACCGAGCGCTCATCGGTGACCGCAACCTATTGTTCTTTAATTGTGTCTATAATGATGGTACTCAACGAGTTAATTAAATTAAAAACAATGTTTTAGGATGCATCAATCTGGAGTTTTAATGGACTATGTTCCAATGGTAACAGACCTGTTAAACAATAAGGTAAAGAGGACACACAATAATAACCGATTTAAACCTTCCAATTTACAGTGTGCCACTAACCAGGTATTTTTTCAGATTAATGATTTACTGGACAATGAGAAATTAAAACGAGATTTACTGGCACAACTTATAGTGAAATATGAAGGTGCTATACTAGAACATGATGCTAACAGTGCAGCATTCTTGTTTGAAATGAATAATTACCACTGGATCTTACAAATTGATATTGGTATGTACATACCTATACTACAGAATACTATCTATACATAATAGTCCTTATATGAATCTCATTATAAGAAACCACAATGACCAAAATCAGAGTAACTCCTAAATTGGCTTAGGGCCAGAAAAATGGATGACAAAATAATTGTAGTGCATTTACTTATCCTCCAGAGAATAAGAAATGTTTTATTAATCTTTTTTAAAATACAACAAAACTTTTCAGGTGCTAAGTTCCCAGAAAAGCCTCCGGTATTGGCTTTGAGATCAATTTATCACTGCAATAAAGGAAAACCTATTTACAAAATACTCACAGGCTGTCCATATAAAAAATTCGAGAGCTATATTGAACAGCAAGTTGAAATTTTCAAGAATGAGTGTTTAGGTCTATACCCAAGAGACCAACATGTTTCCTTGGACAACTAATTCAGGATAGTATATGATATTGTTGTTTGTATTGCTGCTATTATTATTTTCTTCCTGAAAACTAAACTTTTTAACCCTTTAACCGCCAAGATTCTGAACTTTCAACTTACCTCCAGCGCCACATCACTTTAGGTATGAGTTGGAACAGTGTTGGGAACACTTAATATCGATGCATATATTCTTTATTAATTAAAAAATTAAAATCAATGTTTTATTTACCTACTTAATAAATAATCTAAAAATTTTCAATCTTCAAACGAAGTATACGAAAATGTGTATTCGGGAAATGGGCACGGCGTCGTCCGTTCTCCTGCTGGCGACGGTGACGATGCTCCACGAGCATGTCGTATTAAATTTAATATTTTCATGTAAACTTCTGAGCGGATTTCCGACAGTACGGTTTCCAGCTCAAAAGGTTTTAAAGATGCAAAGTATTCATTTCGTGGATCACTTGGTCTCTGATCAAAAACTTTTGCGTCACCATCTTCTAACTTTGCATAATGGACACATTTGGTTTTGACTGTGTTGATTTATTTGAGAAATAACAAAAACCCAAAAAAGGGCTTACAACACTAGTTGCATTGAGTGATAAATGTTTAACGTGATTTTACGGTGACGGCGCTAAGGCAACTCACAATACAGCGCTATAATCTCCTTGGCCGCACGTAATATTACGATGATGGCGACCGGCGATTGTCCGCACTAGTGCGGTTCTGCGTTATGAAATTTTTATATTATTGTTATAAATATTAAATAATTTTAAACTTAAATACATTTTAATTAGTACAAATACTTGCATCAAAGTAACACTATGGTTATTTTCTAATGAAAGTATACACTTTCATTGCAAATAGTGACAGTAATATCTATAGTGCCTTGTTTGTTCTTAGACAACCTATTAAGTATTTTTCGAATTCGCCCCATCCCTAGTACTCGTAAAATTACGTGATTGGCGATACAGATAATGGAGACGGTGACCACAATTTAATTAAACCTCAAATTTCACAGTATTTATCACTCAAAACATTGAGAAATATCCATAACAATAAAGATTATACCCTACATCTTGAAATTGACACATTTTATATGGAGTTTGTGCACTATAAGAAGATTTTTAATAAAATAACGTGATTGTACGTATGTGGCGATTCGGACACAGCTTTCGAAAACCGTAATATTACGTTGTCGGCGGTTAAAGGGTTAAGACAACTGAACCATTGATTGAGGCAATGATGTAAATAAACAAAATAAAAGATCTTTATTATTTTACAGCTTTTATTGTTTTAAACCTTATTAGTACATTTGTATCAATACAGGTGTTAATCTTAGCAAAGTTGATGATTACTTTGTAAGAGATAATATCTATGTTATACATTATGTACTGACTATAGAACATAATGTTTTTAATTACCTACATATCATGTGGGTATTCTAGCCTATAGATCATGATTGAATCACTAAAGTATACACTGAATACTTCTAATTTATATTCCTTTATGAAGTCCACATATAGACAACAGGTATGTAACTGTGAATAATAATTATTTTAAATGAAATTTAATCACAAAGAGTTTCCACAGTGACAAACTCTTGTCGACAGAAGAACCCCACAATAAAATAAATACTTAAATAGTAGTAAGTACATGCAACACGCATGATAACCTACTAGATCTAATTAGTTAATTTAGTATTTTCCTTGGAACCAATAAGTTCATAGCGATACCTCATATACATAACTTTCATTCTGTCCCAAACATTTCCAAAAGAGTCAAGAGCAGGTCTGACGTCAAGCAGTGCAAATTGGTACTGGTTGTCGACTTCACCACCGTCATAGTAGTCGATAACATAACGGACCTCTTTTCCACATCGGTCTACAATCCAGTCATGTCTGTCAAAGGGCAATTCATATCTGAAAATAAGTAACAGTAAAAATTAATCAAAAGTTTTATATAAGTAACAAACAAAATTTTTGTGTTAAATTTTCTATTATACATACCCAAGCCAATGCCTGATGCGAGCTCTTGGACTGTAATCTGAAGCTTTACCACCAAAGCTCTTCAGCCTTGGATGACCACACTCTTTTGCATGTAGTGCCTCCCACTTCAGGACTTCTTGCCAAGCCTATGGACATAATGTAAATTAAATTACAATCAAAATAAGTTTTATTTTCATTACTTTTCAAGTATCAATTTAAATTGAATTATTACTTTGTTTTAAACATGTAATAGTGATATCTGGGTATTATTCAAGTAATTTACCTGTTCGTTGTTAGCATTGTGTATTTTAATGATGTCCTCCATATCCTTCTGTTTAATGTCTTCATTCTTCCAACGCCAGCCTTTGCGTAACATAGCATTCCAGAACATTTGCTGACTGGGATACACCCAGAACTCAGTGGATCCATCAGGCATAGCACGTGGAATTGAGGATACTTGGCGTTGAGTAGGGAGTTCGAATGGCTGGTCTGGAGCTGGCTGTTGATTAGCTGGTGGCATCTAGAGGAAAACAACAACAGTTAAATTAGTAAGATCGTTGAATATACATTTACAATTAACTTGTCTATTGGTAATTTGTATGACTGACTACCAAGCACCAATTTTATTATTAGTAGTTGACTTCAGTCAGGCATAATCTTGGCATTTCAGTCATAATCTTTAACCATGAATAATTAGTTATCTATTTTATTGACCTATTCATTACTGCTATTTTTTCTGAACATAATATTAACGGTTCTATAATCTGTTATTATCTAAACTGATAAACAACATGTGGTATTTATAATGATACAATACATTTGAAGGTTATTTAATTTTGAAACCCGGTCAACATGGTATTTTTAGATATAGTTAGACTTCTTAGGCATTCTATTATGTGGGTATCTATATTTTAGGTTTAACCTTGGCACTTACCATGTTATAGGGATTGACATCACTGTCTTTTCCATGCTGAACTGGACATTCGGATGGTCGCTTGGTTTCTACGGGTTTTGGCTCCGTTTTCTGGTGCATAGGACATTCCGGTGGTGGATTCGAATTACCAATGTTTGGCAAGTTCACACCAGCCTCAGCTGATACTGAATTACCCATTTTATTACACTTTTGTCTTACGTAAGATATTTATTTTAAAAGGTTAACAAGTACATTATTTTTTAACGTAATTACAGCAGTAACTACTTGTTACTGTAGATGGTAATCACATATAAATGAACATCTAAAAGATATACGTTATGAACTTTATCAACTTTTTAATTTTATTTTTCTCTTCACACACCAACCACTTTCCGTCAACCACTAAAACTGAAAACCATAGAGCACACCATAGATAGAGAAATGCCTAGCCAAAAACTTCCCATTTGTTTTTTCAGTGACTTAAATTTGATACAGTGCCTTTTTGGATCCTTTATTGTGACTAGAATGGACTAGATGAAACATTCAAATAATTATTTCATAACAAACAATACAACATGATGATAAGATTTCATCTACTGTAAATTTTTGTGATTAATGTACATGTCAATGTCCTTGTGTACAATAATATCTAAAATAAGGACGTTGAAAAAGAAGCACATATTCTGACTTAAGTAAGATCAAAGGGTTCATCAGGACTACAGTAGGATTACCCATATACTTAATGTACTCTTTGAAAGGGACCCAGCTGTTGATTTTATGAAATACTATGATTTTATGTGGAATAATTCCATATTTTCATTTAAACCTTGTGTTTAAAATACAAATTCATATCTATGCAATTCAAGTAGTATACGAAAAATACCTAGCAAAATTATAAAATTTTAAATTCTGTTATAATAAATTTATAATAATAAATGTGTTATGATAAATAACAATATGAGGCTTTATATTCACAAAAGATATTAATAATTTTTAAAAGGCCGGCAACGCACCTGTGACTCCTCTGATGTTGCGGGTGTCCATGGGCGGCGCTGATCGCTTACCATCAGGTGATCCGTATGCTTGCCACCTATTCCATAAAAAAAAATTAAGTAGGTAAATAGAATATGTTGAATAGGTATTAAACTGTCAAACACCAAGCAGTCACCGGTGACCGCAACCTATTGTTCTATAATTGTGTCTACAAAACCAGTACTCGACGAGTTAAACTGTCAAACACCAAGCGGTCGCCGGTGACCACAACCTATTGTACTATAATTGTGTCTACAAAGAGGGTACTCGACGAGTTAAGTATCTTGTAGTTATAAAGGCAAATAGGGTACCTAATTTTGGATTTAATAAATGCATTTCAACAACACACTTTTTATTACTATTATTTTACTAACAATCCTATAATACTAAGTCGTATAGATCACTTTTTCTTGATATATTTTAAATATTTCTTAGCATTGTAGTCATCTTGAATATCATCAACTATTTTGACTTTCCTCTTTGGCTTTCTTTTTTCCAATCTTAATTTTCTCTCGTCTTCAGATAATTTGGACAAATCTATGGGAAGCTGTAACAAATTCTTGGTTTCAACATACTTTCATTTAGAAGAAATATAACAGTAAAGTTATTTATCACTCCTTTTTTGCGTAATAAAATTAATAAATATTATTTATGATAAAAGGTAGTTATGCAGGCTCACTGAACGAAAATGTTAATTGTTTTACCGTTTCTGAAATTATTACTATATAATAAATTATAATTATAGTTTTCATAAATAAATTAAGGTTATATAAAAAAGTCAAGTACTTCTCAACAAAATAGTATCAAGAGATCAATCATAAACTTTTTAAATACGTTGTCAGCTTGCAACAACAATTTATTAAATTACAATCGAACACCTTTAACGCTTTAATAGATTTCACTAATAGTTTGTATACTACTCAGTTGTTTGTTTCCGTCCATAAGTAGATCATGAATGAAACTGAAGTCATATCGTTAAATACTTACATATAACAAATTATATTACCTTTATAATTTTCCTGGGTTCGTGGTATCTTATATTAATTGAAGCTCCATCAGGTAAAACAACTTTAGTAGGATACATTCTTGTGTAAAGGTCTCTGTGTATTTTAGTAACGCTGGCTACATTATTATGTAAGTAGTTTTTCATACACAAGTTAACTATAGAAGATTTTAAGTTTAAAAGAACCTTCGTATTCATATTTCTTCAATTTATTTACTCAAAAAGTTAAAATTTCCTCTGCTTTTTCTTCAACAAGCATGCAGCTAACAATCACAGCACTCAGCAGACAGTTGTTGTGATGTGACATGTGACACTGTGGCAGTGTGTGTGGCAGTGACAATGACAAGAGGAAAGAGTAAGAGTGCAATACCTACATGCAGAATGGAGAATAATATTTTTGTTCATAAGTGTCAGCCTCACTCGATTGGTGCCATTTGGTGCAGTAGTTCAACAGTTTTTATTAATAGTATAGGTTGATTAGTTTAAATTTTTATGGGGTAATAAATATTTTTATAGTTTGAATTTTCATGTCGAAATTTAATTTAAATTAACTAGCTAAACGTACAATCAAATAATTCTGCCATTTGACAGTAAGATGAACAGACAACATGTCAACTGTCAAGTGTCAATCGTTGTCAAATCAAAATGTTGAACAGCTGAAGTCAGAAATACGGAAAAGTTATTTTTATTCTGAAAATCTGACTGTTTTTCAGTGTAATTATTTAATACAATACCAAAATGTGTAGTCTTTCTTCTCGTCTATTAAAGTTTCCAGCGGAGTTTGCTGCAATACGCAAAGTTACTTGCATACCAACATCAAGAGTTCTGGCAGTAACAGCAAATCATACATTTGATTTACAGAGAAAATATTATTATACCGATAGGGATTATGAGCAGCACGGGAGTAAATATTCGTACAAACGCTTTTGCTTATCTGTATTATTCGGTGCAGCAGCCTATGTCTCGTACAAGTACTGGTAAGTGTTTTTTGGCTTTACAGTACCAAAAGCGCAATATTTCATTGCATTAAACGCCGAAACCGTTTTAGTATTACCTACCTACAAAAATCGCTGCAGTGCTTATCACTGCTTATCGTAGTAAATATTGAATTATTTGTTTTGTTTTGATTACTTGAGAAGTTGAATGACAGAACATCTTTTATTTTATTAACCTGTACAGATAAAACTAGCTTTAAGATGTAAATAAAAACAGAACAATAGCGATGTGTTAAAGTTATGATAAAAAAAAATTATACTTAAATTAGAAAAATATTAAGCTGAATAAGTTTGTGAGGAGTATGTACCTATATCCGGTTCACACTAGGCACTCTATGATTTCTGCTTGCTCCTATCATCTCTCTAGGTGTACTTGTGTATATGATTAAAATAATTTTAGGACACAAAACCATTTATTACCATCAATAAATGCTGCGGAGGAAATATCTGAGAGTGATTCTGACAGTGAAGTTGACACTAAGAAGAAAAGATATAGGAAAGAAAAAATCGGTTTTCGTGACAGAAAGGTATTTTTAGCACTTACATAAATATTTACTTCATCGTTTTTATTATAATTTTATCATTACCACATTTTTATTTTTATTTACAACAGATTATTGAATATGAAAATCGTATGAGGTCATACTCAACCCCAGATAAAATATTTAGATACTTTGCCACAGTGAAATTGACACATGGTGAACACACAGAGATATACATGACCCCTGATGACTTTTTACGAGCAATCACACCCGGCATGAAACAGCCTGATGGTATTTATTTTATTTTAATTTCATTTTATATTATATTTATGTTGATATGTATGTTATATTGGTTGTGTTAATTTTTTTTATTATCTGCACTTATAAGAAAGTACTTGGTTTCATTTCCTAGGTAAGCCATTCATGCTAACAATATTTATTTATTAAAAATCAACACATTATTTTTAGAACAAGTAATATTATAATTAAAAATTTTAAACTTAGTGTGTAAAAATTACATTTCTACTTTGGACGCTGCTGGATAGATTATTGAGTATGAAAACCGTATGCGCCAGTACTCAACTCCAGACAAAGTGTTCCGATACTTTGCCACGCTTCAAGCTCAGCATCATGACCAGCATGAGATATTCATGACACCGGATGACTTCCTGCGCTCCATGACACCTGGTGTCAAGCAACCAGATGGTAAAGTGAAATAGATATAGGAATATATAAATTTGACTGTGGGTAAATTGATTTAAAAATTGTTCAGTATAAAATCACTACTGTGTAACAACCATAAAACCACACAAATTTAAATCATTTGAAAGAGGAAAATCTGCTGATTACAATGATATAAATAATTCTATTGTGACCTATGTTGGTATTTAATACATTTAAGTTTTACCATCCAAGCATCTATTTCAATTTTCCGTGAAATTAATTTATTTACTTTTACTAGGTTTGGGACTGGATCAATATAGAAGATATGACCCCAAAGTGAGTATCATTTCTAAATTAGCTTACTTAATGTTATGATACAAGAAAAAAAACCTTTTAACTGTGTAAGAATTGTAAATAATATATTGTTAAAGCAATAACATTTTGAGTAAATAATAAGTATCTAAAATTGTAGCAATAACCTGTAATATTACAAATATAATAACCACCATTTGATATGTGCACTTGCACTTTTACATCTTGATATTTTCACTTTCTAACATGGAATAAACTAATATTGTTAAATAATATTGCAAAAGTATGATAGAATAGCACTATTACAGAAGATTTCTTTACGTTATAGAGGGAGCAGATACTCTTCAAGAAGAATAAAGAAAGTTTACAAAAAGTATTTAATAACTTAATATTTTTTGTATTACTGTTTTCACTACCCAGTCTTAGGAACACATTGCCCAATCACAAATGTTGTTTAGATTACCTTTCGCTTGATAGCAACCTGTATCTAATTGTCATTGGACACTTGCACTGTCAGCACCGTCTTCTCAGCCACTCACATCACTTTCTTGTCTTTTCAGAACATCGATGAGGTACTGTCTTTCTCCTCTTCTTATTTCTCTACTACTGTCGACTTCGTAACGTTTTTATTTATTTCAAGTGCACACTCTTGATTTATTCATGTCCCTATTATCATCGCCGTTGGCCACGTCGTGCCTCAATCTAGTCTAGACCACTTTTTTAGATTTTAGGAGGATCGTTTTTACTCTGTTGTACCTAATCTGCTAAAGACCTAAGCTGTGCGCTATTTAAGCTAAATACTTCAAGCTAATGGGTCTTAGATCCCGCAAAACAATTGCATTCTCGCCATTCTCTTCATCGCATGCTGGTTATTCTCTTATTGTTTTTATTGCATCATTAAGTCTAGACTTCCTTTTTTTAGCAGTAGCAATAGCTGTTTTTTTTTGAAGTTTTTAATTTATTAACGTAGTACTTTCATACTTTTTTACTCGTACATTTTTGTCTAGTCTACATTATTGCGATAGATTTATCGAACAACATTGATAAATCGATTAAAATCTTAATTGGCAACTAACAATAATGAGGTATTTTGCCTTTTAGAGTACACGTTTTGTTTTATTTTTGAGAGCATTTAGAATTATTAGCTGTTTATCTTTTTAAATTTTTTCCACTTCTAATTACATACGATTTTTTCCTGTCCTGACAGAGCATCAGTCAACGTCTCAACCTCGACTTGGACGAAGATTCGATTTTCTATAAACTCGGCTCTTCCGGACTTATTACCTTCAGTGACTACATATTTCTTCTGACTGTATTGTCAAGTAAGTCCTTATATTAATTTATATTGCTTTAAACGCTTTGTTATTTTTCGCCACTTGGAATTGTCGACTGTTTACCGTAAGAGAGTGAGCCTACTATCAAATACAAGGTGCAATTCCAGACATTCAGTTTGGTATTGGTTGTCCGTGATTAACTTGATAACTAGGTACACTCAGTTCTTTTCTCATACTTAGCCACATACCTACCCACCTAACTACTTACTATATTTTTAAACTTTCAATTCGTCCTTACTCCTTACACTTATACTACTGTAAAAACCTTTCTATGCTAACGAATAACTAATATTTTAATTTATTAAAAAGTGAATTATATATCCAATAAGTAACATTCGTCAACTTCTAAAAAATTAGGTAGTATACCTACGAAGCTACTTCAGTTGATATTTTGTAAACGAAACGTACGAAAGATATTTAAGAAAGAAAAAGAAAAATAACTGAACTTTTATTTTTTAACATAACTTCTATAAACACTCGCATCATATCCGAACATTTCAAAGTCTATATCGTATATTTTTAACAAATTATCCAACATATTTTCGTCAAGTTGACCATAATAATGCATTAACAAAGATGTCGTGTTCTTCCCGTCACGAGATGTATTCATCAGACCACGATGTTTTCTCTTACGCTCACCAGCCTTTATGTTTAACACAGGGCCGAGATTTAGTTTCTGTATTACATACATTGAATCTTTTGTGAACGTTTCTACTTTCGCTATCACAGTAAAGTTGACTGCACATGGTGTACAAAACGTGTAGTACGGAGCCCAGTGTTCGTCAAACGTGTACCCCGGATGATACTCGTCTATAAGATACTGGACGAACTCACGAAATGTTGGACCAACCACTTTATTTTTCGCCTTGACTAGGGCTTCTTTCTTTCTATACTTTGTAATTATTGTCCTTGCCAATTTCCTATAATACGGCTTTATTTTCCCTTGCTGGTTGATCTCCAGTTTGTCACGATATGCTGACAATAACCTTACAAAAGGATCTCGCACAATTAAAAGCGACACAACCCCAGGTGCTTGAATTGCTTCTGTTAGTTCTTTTATTTTAGGACGGGGGAACTTTTTTCTTGCTAAAATTAACGGTATTTTTTTAGTTTCTTCCAAAAACTTTTTCTTATATCCTCCTGAAACAAAGTATGTTATGAAAAACAGCGGATAAATGTTATGCTCGATTGTTTTAAAAAACTACTTTTTAATCATTACCTAAAATATTCATATAATACATCCAAGTCGAGCTGGCAGCTTTGAAAATGTTGCACCAAACAAGTCCATGATCATGATCGACATAGAATTCTTTAGAGTTCACTTTTTGTGAGAGAAGATTTCTCTGGCGACAGACTTTTTGCATTGTTTTTGATCGATTCTTCAATACTATAATCGTATCATTATCTACCTCAGGCCACGTGATAAAGTCATGGTTTGATGTTTCTGAATCGTCGTTAGTTAATGGCACAGCACCCTGTAAATTATCAACAGTATTGTTTACACTGAGCAACAAATGAACAGGGAACACTACAGAAGTGCACATTTAGTGACATTACCTGCCACCCGCTGTAGTTGTCTGGTATTATAGACCAGTCCTTCACTGACGTATCTTCGGTGCTTTTAAAAACCGTCATTTTCATAACTATCATGTAAAGAGATACCCAAAACAGAAGAGCTGCGGTCTTTGCTCCACATCTCACGCAAATGTATAGTTTTGTTGCCATTCTCGATCGAAAACGTTTCACTGAAAGGACCATTTTGACGGGTCTGTTTAGTATTTATAATGAACAGGTGAACTGTCCTAAATGTATGGTATGAACATTTTCGGTACTCCTTTGTGTCGTCCACTAGTGTGCGCAGACATATCGGGTGACAGATACTTCACGCAGCATCCGATGGAGGTGGGGGTGGACCCGGGCGATACGGGGCATGAGCGGATCTAATGATTTTCTTGTTCCTGTGAGCGTGATGTTTAACTTCCGAAATGCAATTCTTTTTTAAGTTGAATATCAATGAATGATATAGTATTCGTGTAGTAGACCAAATAGGTACTATGTACTATAAATCAACTTAATTGTTTGATTTGTGAATTGATGGAAAAGAAATAAAAGCTTGTAAAGTATCTACTAACTTCTGTCTCTTGGATGAAACTTTTTAGACATTTTAAAAGAAAACATCATAAGTATTCGTGTATAAAACGTTAGCCAATTTCATCTAGGACCTAGGAGGCAATTCATTGTGCGGTCGCGTATTTTGGAAGCGCGATGCTGGATTCGTTTACATCGGGCCGATATTTACTTGCCTATATGTTAAAAGAGAGGATCTGATTTACATACAGGGTAACCAGCAATAAATGGACAACATTTAAATGGCATATAGTTTATGGTCGAATAGGAAAAATGTACCTATAGGTGGTTATCATGTCCCTTTAGGGAACAATTCTTTTTGAGGAGTGGCTTGAGAGACGCTACGGCGTCCTCACCTACCGCCTGACGCAGGTCCTCACCGGACATGGGAGTTTCGGGAGGTACCTGTGTCTGATGGGGCGGCAGGAAACGTCTGGGTGTCACCACTGCGAGGACCGCCCTGAGCGTACGGCGCGCCCGCCTCACGCAGGCGGCAGCAGTCATTCGATGATTTTCCCCCTTTAAAAAAAAAAGGGAACAATTCTTTGTGTAATTCAGCAATTATTGTTCCCAACCTTTATGAACATAGTCCTTCTTTTCCGATGTACATTAATGATAATCGAAGGTATTTATATAGTTTCTGAATATTAAATGGTTTTCTCCGTGGGCTAAGTTTATCGTAATCATAGATAATAAAAATGTCGTACTGCAGTGTAGTGATCTAAAGTGTATTAGTCGTAATCTAGACTTCATCTATTAAAATCGTGTATCCGAATTAATAATTGTTTCCTTTACACCCGACACCTCATGGCGGCCCTGCCATAGGCGCGACTCGGGTACGCGCGAATACCTCAGTACATTCGCCATCATAAATATATGGACTTGGTTATTTTTAACCGACTTCATTTATTATTTTATTTTCCCCTTTCAGCATCTCGCCGCCATTTTGAAATAGCATTCCGTATGTTTGATTTGAACGGAGACGGTGACGTGGACTGTGAAGAGTTTGAGAAAGTCGCGGCTCTCATTCGACAGCAGAGTAGCATTGGATCAAGGCATCGAGATCATGCGAACACTGGCAATACTTTCAAGGTTTTTAAATGCTTAATTCCTATTTTGAAAAAACCATTACCTTCATCTAAGATTAAGTGCTGGGTTACGTTAAATTATAGTATTTGCTTTCACGATTCTATTGGTAGATCGTCGATTCTATTCACGACACAGTTTATAGAATTGGTGTCCCTTGATTAAAGTATTTCACATGACTCTGTATGAAAAGGAAAAGTTACTGGAAGTATACATATTTAGGTATTACATAAAACAAGAAATATTCAAACTTGTATAAACTTGATCACATTTATATTTTTTACAATCGGTTAGTTGACCGCTCAGTCAAATATAAGTCGTTGTATTTTTCAGGGCATAAACTCTGCTTTGACGACATATTTCTTCGGGCCTCATCTTAACCAAAAGCTCACTATCGAAAAGTTCTTAGACTTCCAACATCAACTACAAAGGGAAATATTGTCCCTCGAGTTCCAAAGAAAACAACCTGGTAAGTGGGACATTAGAAAATACGAGAAAAATACGAGTTACAGCCAGAAAAGCAAAGAGAAAACGTAACTATGTAACTCCTATTTTCACCGTTTATTTTATGAGTTCCAAGTAAAGAATATTGTTGGGAACGATAGAATGTTGTTCTTTGCCATACCTTATAGTTACAGAGAGTTATTAAACAGTGTAACAGAAGTTACACAACTCCAAAGTTGAACTAAGTACTACTAACTCCAGGCCCGAACCGGACATAAGTACTGAGATGAGGAAATCCGGTTCATACTCGTAGGAAGATGAGGAGGCCCGATCTCCCCATACAACATACTTACAACTGCTCTGATGTTGCGGGCTGAGTAGGGCGAATTGAAATCTAACTACGACTAATTAAAGTAGTTAATAATCATTACATATTACATTAACTCGTCGAGTACCGGTTTTGTAGACACAATTATAGAACAATAGGTTGCGATCACCGGTGACCGCAACCTATTGTTCTTGGTGTTTGACAGTTTAATCGTAAAAAGTAGTTAAACATTTTGATTACTACCTAATAATTGTAGTTATAATCACTATTACGAGATTACGTTTCATAACTACACATTTAAAATAATATTGCGTTTTATAAAACGCTAAAGCCCATCACAAACAAACCTAAAATATTTTTTTTTTACGTATACTTAAGTCTAATTTGAATTATTAGCCCAATCAACTTATTTTTATATTAGTTGATTCGCAAATTATTCAAATCGAGTCGAAGTTGTGAAGATTTTTTATGCAGTTAGATCCCGAATCTTACATAACAAGTAATAACAACACATTACGATGTATATTTAACTGTAAAATATTAGACAAAAAGTCAAATAATCAGTACTTACTATTAGGTACTACTAGATTCCAGTAACCAAATGACTACTTCATGTAGTTATAACTATAAGTAGTTAACTACGCCCGATACTGGTTGCGGGCTGCATGATACTTAAGCCTTTTTTACTTATTTGTTTATAAAATATTTCAGATGAAAATGGTCGTATAACTGAGGCAGACTTTGCGGAACTTCTATTGGCCTACGCTGGCTACCCGGCTAAGAAGAAGGCGCGTATGTTGAAACGTGTCAAAAAGACGTAAGTTGCCACAACTGATAATATTATTATTATTAGTATATAACTTTACTATTTAAGCAAGGTTACCTTAAGTTTTCTGAAAAATTGTTGTGATCGGATTATTTATAGATATATTAATTTAGTTGTATGTAGACTATTTTCTATAAAAAGAGAGGGAGAGGGAGAGAGTTAACGCAATTTTCATATTAAATATAACTAGAATAATTTATACTAAAAATGTAATTATTCTTTTCCAGTTTCCGAGACCATGGCGTCGGTATAACCAAGGACGATTATCTGAAGTTCTTCCACTTCTTGAACAACATCAATGATGTAGACACAGCGCTCACGTTCTATCACATAGCGGGCGCGTCCATAGACCAGCCAACTCTACGTCACGTCGCAAGGACTGTCGCACATGTGGACCTGGACCCTCATGTCATCAATGTCGTCTTCACTATATTTGACGAAAATAGTTTGTATTCTTTATTTCAATTTATATTGAAATATACGTAGGCATGCGTAGGCTATGATTTTGGGGAAATTTTAAGGGATAATCGTCATATAATATACAAACAAAACTATATACGACCAATGTCGTTAACATTGTAATAATCTGGTCTCATTTTCGCAGTGGACGGTCAGCTCAGCAACAGGGAATTCGTCGCAGTCATGAAGAACAGATTACTTCGTGGTTTAGAGAAGCCGAAGGACACAGGTTTCGTGAAATTAATGTATTCCCTTATCAAATGTGCGAGGGACACCAAACCGGCGATACTTGATTTTTAAAGGTATTCTTAAACAATCCTTCTGCTAAAATACTTTGTTCACGGAGGGGATCGACGGCTAAGAAGAAATCTATGATTGTGCCTAAAGTATGTCGTGAAATGTACTTGAGTAATAGGATTTTACTTTTTAAATTGCTGTTTTTGCCTTTAAATAGCAGTCAAAAACGGCAGGTTACTGATAAAATCTCGGACGGTTTCGTGCGTGGCGAAACTTTCGTGTGTTATACCAAAGTACGCTTGTTTCTAAATTAAATCATGTACATATTAAAAAAACTTAGGGTCAGATTACACTAAAGTTACTCGCGCAGTTGTTTTTGTTTTAGCGCAAGGAAGAAGTGCGCCAAATTGCGTGACCATTGTTAAAAATTACGTCAAATGTAATTTTGCGATTAACTAGGGGAGATGAAACAATAGAAACTTATTGATACTCGACTGTTAGTAAAGGTCTATACACTACATAGACTTTAATTAGTAAATATTTTCTTATATCGACACGAGAAAATACAAGTATATTTTCATTATCTAACAGATGGTCTACGTACATTCTTCTGTAATCTTCCCTATTGTAATATACTGTTACTGTTTGCCATTTTTATAATGATCGTACATAAAATTTAATACGCCTGCACTGTTTATAAAATTAATTAAAAAGCTTCCCGCACTAAATAATAATACCTTATAATACACATTACTTAGGTAAATACCAGTTCATAAAACCTTTTTTTTTTTTCAAAAACATAAATGAAGTTCCTGATTAAAATTGCGCCTTTGTCAAATTGTTTGTGCAATTATTGCGCTAATCAAAGTTTTGTGCTTGTTATTTTCTTATGTAAAATGCGCATATTGTCCTCTTATTAACCCAATGATCTGTATTTATATTTAATGAATCGAGTAATTTATTTGTCATGGTTTTAATTAAAATTAAAATTTAATTGTTTAAGCTCTCTATTCTGGTCATATTAGTTAGGCACATATTATAAGTTATCGATTTTATGAATAAGTAAGTGACTTGACTGAACTTTAGTTAAAATAACAACGTTTGACTTTTATAATTTTCAAATACCTATTTTGTTAGTGAAATTAGTTGGCTATGTAAAATACTATTACATTACATCATTGTAAAATAATTGTTTGTAAAAATAGCATAATTATGTATATTTATTAAAGTCCTAAATAGATATATTTTAGTTGTATCAAGTCTTAGAGTTTATAATATTGTTATGGAGTATCTTATATGTATTGTTTATCAAACAAATAATTGTTTAATGAATACCGAAATATTATTCATTTTGTATTTACTTTTAAACTATGTATTTTACGCTTTTAACTTTACAAGTACACAGCATAGTTCATATCTCATCAAGCCATGCTTTTATATTGTACTAACTTGATAAGAATAATATAATTATTGCTTAATTACTTCATTATCATAATAAATGGAAAGTTGTATACGTAAGTCGCAAACTACGCGTTTTATCTTAGTTCTAATTTACTTTAAAACACAAGAATCACAACGATTAAGGAATACAATGATTATTGTTATATGATTACTAAGAATAAATCAGTTTTTTGCCACTCCGTTTTTATTTTTAACAGTCTAAAGTTAATATTATTACTTTAAATGTTAGCTTTAGTGTTACATTATATAATTTTGTGATGTATTTGTTGAAATTAATGTTAAACTGAAGCCTCTATGAAAATATGATTTGAATACTTTTTAATCCCACAGCTTCAGTTATTCATACCATGAAAGTATATTTCAAACATTTTTTGTGATGGTTACTAATAAATTTTGAGGTCAACGTCCGAAAAGTCATTAGCGAATCTCGTTGTCATGTTAAAATGCCCTCATCTCCTAGAAACGCGTCGATATTTGAGACAGAGACAAGTCGCGAGCATTGAACCAGTGTCGAGTGTTCCCGGCTCCCGAGTGACAGCGGCACAGCGACGTATGAGCTTTGTATTGGCCCAGAAACAGCTCGTGCGGCTCCGGCTTGTAAATCACTCGAAGTAAGCACGAGCCGTCGATCCGACGCCCGCCGCTACGCGAAAAATAGATATAGTTTGATGTTGCTCCGGAAATATTCGAGATAATAGAAAACGGCACTGCTCGAACGACTCTGAGCAAGTAACCACGCCCCGCGCCCTCTGGTGAGTCCACCCTTATATTGTGATCCCCACTACCGCGCCCACGTGGCGTCTAACGTGTATTTTTCCTGTGCTCGACTGTCCTTGTCCATAGAACAGGTGATTTATGCACAGGAATGTTGCCAAACACCTACGTTCCTACGTGTATGCATTATGAAATGTAACTGACGGTCGATTATAACGAGATTGTGATAGTATGCACTCTCACTGCAAGTGCAGCATACTTTTGCACTGCGTCTGAATTTTAATGCGAATATTTTTGTGTCAGTTTTGCCTGGAACTGATACCGAGTGACGATGCCGATGTACGAGCGGCCACCGTTTTGGCGAGTTCCCCACCAGCGCGCGGATCCTGGAAGTGAGCCCAGGGACTTCGGACAGAGGCGACCAGTAAGTATACCTGTCATATTCAGTGAACATCTAACTACAGAACCATTTACCACCATTAGGGTTTTCATTTTGTGTGGAGATGGATAGAACAGATGTCCGACGCCATTTTGTATATCGATTTATTTGCGGTGCTCAGTCACACTCAGTGGTTTTAATTACCAATAAATTTTCGATTAAATGTACATGATTTAGTACGTTCAGCGACATTAATATAAAAGAAAATTCAAAATAAATATGCATGTTTAAATAACTTCTCTCTTATGTAATACGTAAGCGATGTTCCAAGTAAACGGGAATATGCTGTCAATATCTACCTTCATTAATTTTAGAAAGAAAATAACTAGGTGGATACCGCATGCAGATACGTATCGAATAAAATAAAATATTTGGCTCGTTTCTAAGTAATCTAAACTCTTTTTTTTATATAAACCTCCTTGGTCGTTTATTTGTGCAATTAAATCGATATCACGTTTTTAGGACATTGGGTCTTACGGTCCCATATTTTGAAACCGAATCAAATATCATATATGATATTAACCACTTACTTAGTTGAGGAACACGATTTACTTACTAAAGACACGTGATTTTCTTTTTTAAACGACACATTCTACTATATAGTTACTTGCCAATTCTTTGTTTTAATTTTTAGAAATCATGATCAATGATCTAATTATACATCAATATCGGTAAATGATGCCAATGCAAATTCATAATGGCATAATTAATGTATGACGCAGGAAATAGTGATAAATAAATGAATGGCCTTTATAGTTCTGAGAGTTTGAACTCTTTTACTAAACGCGGTATAAAAGCTGTTTTAGATATTTACAAATAAGAGCCTTATTTTGATCACATTATTTAGTAATTTCACTTCAAATCAGCTTCAATTCGATAAAAAAGTTGACCAAAATAAGTAAACTTTTATTGTTCTGTATTGGGGAATTGCAATAAACCTCATAGAAATTTCTTCATCCCTGTCAATGGAAGAAGTGGTATTTTCGGTATTAATTTTTCACCTGACTATTCGATACATTTTAACGATTTGACATACCAAATATATCACTCCAGTTCTGAGGTACAAATTATTGCGTATGTTAAGCGTTGATTATGATGAAAGTAAATAAACAAGTTGAATAGGTTGCCGGAATGGATGGTCAATCAAGCATCGATATATCCCAGAGTTTCCGTAAATCGAAGTAGGTCGATTGCGAAGGCAGGGTTACATGCAGAGTGCAGAACTAGAGGGGCAGGGGGCGGTGCGAGTTTGCGGTGAGGCTAATTTAGCGCACACTACGTCCCGTGTTCCCGCCGCGCACGCATCGCGGCGCAGTGACGGCGCAGTGACGGCACAGTGACCGCGCAGTGACCGCGCAGTGACCGCGCAGTGACCACTCTCAGCATGGGCCGCCTGCACACGTTCGTGGTGACGCTGCGGCGTGACAGCCGCGAGGTCAACTGGGGCCTGCGTCTCGTCGGCGGCGCCGACCTGGCCACGCCGCTCATCGTCACCAGGGTATAGCTTACACGCCGCGCGCCGTAAACACTGCCGGCGCTGTCCTCCTACCGCTCTGTTTGTAAATAAGACGCTATCCAGGTTAACAAGCGATACACGCTGCCGGCTCTAAACTGCACGCCTCACTTCCTCATCTAAACAACAAAGCTTAGCTAAGACAAAACTTCCTCAGTAAATGTGTCGTGAGATCCAACTTGGATTATTTTATCATTTGTCCGGGATACAAAAATATTTATAGCGTTGTCAGTCAGTCTGGGTCTTTACCGGCAAGCGACAATGTGAAGCACTTCAGCTATTTTTGTGATTCAAGTATCTGCTGAGCCGTTTTAAAATATCGGGAAACGTCTGTTGTTTTGAGATTATCTAGAACATCATTAAAATACATCTAGAGCGTGGACGAACTCTCTTTATAACTGATATATTCTTGGATGTATCGTGTTGTTCGTTCGACAGCTGCCGTCGGCGAAGCGACATGACCCCGTTATCTTAATCTCTTACATTTAATATTTTTAGCTAGCTCCTAAATGTACATGTATATTTTGTTAGTATATGCAGTAGGTAGACTGCATGACGACTACTTCAGTACTATTGGCTGTCAAGTGCTTCGCCAGTGACCTTCGTGACGTGGAGTATGCGCAAATGTAACCAGTGTAAACCTAACACAGGAACCAAAAGCCATCGGCGTTGTTGTGTATGCATTACATATACAAAGTAGAAAACCTTGCTCCAATATTTAAGCTTATGACGCAAACGTGACGCCCGTACAACACCAACACCATAACATGTTAGCAACAACAACACACGTACTATAGTGTGGCGTGGGTCAAAAATATTTTTTTTCCAAATACAATTTCTAATAGCGAATATTAGTTGTCATTTGATAAGACGCGTATAAAATATTATTGCAATCTTTGTCTCAATCTGTATCCGGATCAGTTTTTAAGGTTCTATATATTTTTACTTTAAAGGTTTCCAAAATGTTTGAAAACAATTACTATTTTAACTCGTCGAGTACCGGTTTTGTAGACACAATTATAGAACAATAGGTTGCGGTCACCGGTGACCGCTTGGTGTTTGACAGTTTAACTTCTATTTTTTTTTATTTTAGACAGGTGTCTGCTATTAAAGAAGATACCGAAAACGTCAATATTTGTGGGTACTTACTTACATGACATATATATACCCGCAAAGTTATTTGTTTAGTTGACTTGTGTTTTGATAACGCAAGGTGAATTTTTGGGATTTTGAAAATTAATCGTATAGTCGAAAAACTTTTTGTGTCCGATATTTGATAATACAAATGACTTAAAATATGTAGAAATTCCGAATTACGAAGAAATAATAAAGTAGGTACTCGATATAATATAACGGGATTTAAAGTAAAAATCTCGAAAAATACTGAACGGTAATCGTATTTTCAAAAATTACTGTTATTGTCACTGAAAAATTTTAAAACTTACGAAGGAAAGCATTGCCAGCTACTGTATCAAATATAAGAATGCAACCACCTTAATTAAAACTTATTGCCTACATGAAATTCAAAATCGTTTTAATTCACCAAAGTTGTAAAGATTAGGCATATTATTAACTGGCAAAATCAAGTTAAAAAACCACCTATCCTGATGCAACTCTCTACCCAGAAGCTAGATACCCTTATTGCTCGAGGAGTGGTTAACAAAATATATTTTTTGCGCTTACCATGTTACAGCCATGCCATTGAATGCATGTTACTGAAGCTTCAGGAACTCTCTGATCAAAATGAACCCGCAAAGCCATGACAGAATCATCATCGTAAACTTATAACATAATTTTATAGTAATAATGATAAAAATGATGATAATCATAATTGAATAATTCTTTCATAAACTACGTTTAAAAAGGAAGAAGTTTAGTCAGGTAAAAGATTATCTAATTACCACAAAATTCTGTACCAGTTCTTACTACCAAAACACATATTTTTATTGTATATGTTACCGGTATTGTATTGTATGTGTTACAGGTATGTATATGTTACCGGTTTGGCCGGTTTTCAAATCAGGATTTTTTTCCATATTGAGGTGACCCACCCTACTACGTACTGAAAAATCTTATTAGGCCAAAGTGGATGCTATTCCCTAATTTTAAAAACTCCTATTGAAGAGCCTCCGCAGAGTTCTGTTATCAGTTAGATATTCATTTTGTCTTCTTAGAGAAGAGCATCAAAATCTCCCACGACCATAGATGTAATATATGTAAAATGCTTTTATCTGATCCAAAAGTACCTACATGAATTTTATATTAGATTTTCTTAGAAAATAATAATAACAAGGCGGATGCTTGACCCGATTCTGTCTGTATGTGTGTTTATATCATGGCTGACGCGTGAGTGCAAGAAAGAGTGCATCCCAGTCGTATGTCTATTCGCGTGAAGTGTAGGAGGTTACTGAGTCATAGGCGTTGAGATAGCAATCTGGAAAGTTTGCCAGGTAGATACGCATTCCAAAGAGGTATTCTTTCAGAACTTACTCACATTCGCATTTCAATTA